CAAGATTTGAAACACTTGATACCCTTGTCATGGTTCTACCATTCTAAGGACATATACTAATACATATTGCAATAACAATTATTTACGCGATATAGAATAAAATGTCTTTTATTGATTAATAAACATTATTACAAAGAGTCAATTCTACAATAATTGATTGGCTCTATGGCATCTACTGTAACATAAAAGACTTTGAAAATTTTGAAAGAAAGTAAAACAGGGATCATCACACGTAATACTTCTGAAAAAGAAAGAAAAAATTCATGCATGAACCTGCAATTACAACTCAACAGTTGTCCATCTTCTATATACTCAACTTCAAAAGTGAACTCCTTGCGATACCAATCATTCACTATACATCTCTCCCCCACCTTGAACTTCTCAATACCATCTTCCTACACTTCCTCATTGATATGCAGAGTTACATTGCAGTGCAACATGCACCTGATCTTGTCTTGAACAACCTTGAACATTCCGTTTGTGAATGCTTGTTGAAACTGCATCTTCCATTCATATTCATAAATGCACTTAATCACTATATCTTTACTTCTAAAATCAGCACAAAATTCCTTCTCTATCTTATCACACATAGCAATCTCATATTGATCCAAAAATTGTTTAAGCGTGCTCATCGAATTCACATACCCATCAAAATATGCATGCATGCCCTCATTCCTTTGAGTTGATAGCAAACTGACCCATAATATGTTGTTCAAATAGATTAGCACCTAATTCGCCCTCTCTCTAAAAAGCTTCGACAACCATTCATTTTCCTGCAGCCCATGCCTTTCCACGAACCCATTCCAATTGCTCTCAAACATCTCAACAGTTAAGTTGTCATATATGATAGCTTTAAACTCATGAACTACAGTACCATAGTCTACAATACTCTTAAACTTCTCTAGGAATTTACATAGAATATGTCACCAGCAAAATTTATATATGAACAGTATTGGGCATGACTTATAAGATGGCTTTCTTGATATTTTCGCATTGATCAATCATTATGGCTTTTAATGAACCTCTCCCATTGCTAATAGCCAAAAAGTGAACAACCATTTAAAAGTATCAGCATCCTAATGTGAAATCAAGGCACAACCTAATAGTTATGACTGTCCATGGTGGTTGATGCACACAAATGTCACGAATGGCATTTTTTACCTATTCACTAATTATGTTATGTTGAAGCTAACAACATCATTGAACTCCTCGTAAGCAGCTTTGGAACGAGGATGAACCCAAATGACATTGGACAACCTAGAATCACTGTCAACATCAATTAAGTGAAAAAAAAAAAAAAAAAAAATCTCTATCCCTTTGCTACATCCTCAAGAATAATTGGTAGATTGACTCAACATCACCTTCACCGAGTCTCAACCTCTTTTTTTTTTTTTTTTAATGAAATCGTAACAATCCTTTAGCAAACATGTTAGATTCTCTAGCCCACCAGATTGGACTTTAAGTAATCTAATGCTTTTACAAGGCTTGATCCCAACAATATCATTAGCCTCTAGATTTTTCCTCGCTTTAGGATTCAAATTCCTATGTCCTGCCATGAGTCTACTTATTGATGGATCCAAATCATTATTGTGATTTGTCTGAACTTTTGTAACCTGTCACTTTCCATTAGTTCTTAGAACCATGCTTAACCTAGCACGACAATTTGTCCTCTTTGAGGACTTCTCATAATATGTTTTCCTTTCTTTGTCACAACTAATAGTATGATATCTTCGATCACCATTCCTCCCCGCACATGCTAATTTCTTCACAATAGCAAAGCCTTTATATTTTGCATGCTCTTTATATGCCTTGAAGAGAGATTTCAAACTATGGAAAAACATACCTGGCTGAGGACCATGTTCAATAATTGCTTATGTTTCATCAATACTTGCTTCGATATCTGAATTTACAATTTCACTGCCATGGGTCACTTCATCCTCGTTCACGTCATAGATCATTGAGTTGTCATCTTCATTGTTGCCGAAAATTGCTTCCAATACCGCATTTTGCTCTTCGAATTCCATAGTTTCTTTCCAAATCAAACAATGAATAATGCTTTCTTTCAAACACCAAAATCAACACTTATTTATAAACAAAACCATACCAAACGAAATATGAACTCTTAGATTACAAAACAAACTTCCATAGTTGCCTAAGTTCTTAATTCTTACATTGCAAAACAAACTTCATGACAGTACTTGTTTATAAACAAAACCATTCCAAACGAAATATGAACACTTAGATTACAAAACAAACTTCCATAGTTGCCTAAGTTCTTAATTCTTACATTGCAAAACAAACTTCATGATTTCTCTTTAAAATAAACCAATTTCATTACAACTTCTCTAGCTACTAAATGTTTACAAGTCCACCATTCTGGTCTTAAATTTCTTTCTTTCCTTTTTAAAGTCTCAAACTGTCAATACTATATTTTAATTCCGTATTTAATTATTAATGAAATTAAACATAAATTAACTTAATTAAACTAAAGAATTAAATTGTATAATCCTTGAATTAGTAAAAAAGAGAAAGCTGGATAAAAAATGTTTTATGTATATTGATTTGAATGTTGTGTGGATAAAATAGAGAGAGCTGTATAAAAACTATTTTTCGTATATCAATGTTTTATGTATATTGATCTAAATGTATTTTGTACACTGATCTAAATATTGATAAAATAGAGAGAGCAAAATAAAAAATGTTTTCTGTATATTACTATTTTCTATATATTGATTAGAATGTTTTCTGTATATTGATAAAATAGAAATAGTTGGATAAAAAATGCTAGTTCATGTTGTGATAAAATAGAGAGAGCTAGATAAAAGAATGTTCATATCTAAAACGGTGTACCTTTGTATGAAACAATGTTAAAAATCAATGCGTTTCACTTTGGGTGCTTCTCATAAGGGATTACACTTGCAAATGGTTACAAGAAAAAAGCATGCACAACCTCGGTCATCGTCCACATCCATGCATTTCTACCCAACTACTCATCACATTGCTTAGACAATCTTTATCATTGTCTATACCTTCTTTATATCATATCAGCACCTACGAGATTATTAACTATATTTCTTTCAATGTTCATAACAAACACAAAAATCTCTTTGCACCCATCTATTCATAAACTTATATCACCAAATCATTAGCTTCCTGTCATCTCATTTTTTCCATTTATTGTAATGAGCCACTGAAGTTTACTTTTTTTTTTTTTTTTTTTTTTTTTTTGAGCCAGTAGATGAAGAGCAATATGTAGAACATGAAAGAGTTTACATTTTTTTTTTTTAAATGTATTATTACAATAAATTAATTCCAACTTTAAAACTTCTATTCTTGGAAATATTGAAGTAATTATTACTTCTCTCTCATCCTCTATAATGTCAATCAATGAGAGAATTATTTCCCTCCAAAAGACATGGTTAAGGAGCCAAAAATAAATTTATATGTCAATCAAGGAGTAACTTTGTAAATTTTTCTTCCCAAAAAGTTTTTGACATATGTCCTTTCAAAATCACAATAACATGTAGCTAATATTTACATGATGTCATATTAATATTCTAGAAGTTCTTAAGATCAAAATTAGAAGTACGTACATGTGGAAAAAAAAAAAATGTCGAACACTTAAATTTATGGCGTTTAATGTTTATAAAGTCAATTCTAGACTCATAATTGTATGATATTTAATCAAACTTAATAGCTAGAAAAATAATAGGAATCACATATAAAATAAGAGATATACATTGATTTACGGAAAGGATACAGCCACCGAGGTTATCTATCAAATTAATGCACCGAATAATGTGACAAAATTGACCGTCAATTAATATTAAGTAAAATTAATTAACGGTAGGATTTTGTCACGTCATTCGATGCACTACTTCGATGACTGTATCATTACTCTTAATTATACTAGCAAAATGTCCTTCAAATGACATCGTAATATGAAATTAAAAAGAAAAAGAATATATGTTGAAGTACTAGGCATGTAGAAAGTATTATAGTTCTTGGTTTAGGAAAAGAATATACATTTTTTCAAGTACTTCTTTATGTTATTTTCAATTACTAATAAACCGTTGATACGTATATTTATTTGTTTTTAGACATTAACTTATAGGGGTTTTTATTTAATTGAGTTCAACATATTCTTAATCATAAAAAATAAATGGGTGAACTTCAAGTAGTATATTGAATATAATATATATAATAACGATCGCTCCAATTAAAACATAAACAAAAAAAAAAAAAAAAAAAAAAAAAACACAAATTTCATAATAATTAACACTTAACCCATTAAGTTCTATATAAATATGATGCTTTAGTTTAATTTATAGGGGTTTTGATTTATGAAACAAGAATAATTTAGAAAGGGTCAAGATATTAACATTAAATTTTTTTAAATCAAACTTTCAACACTACTTAAGAACTCTCCTTTTAACTGTTGTATTAAATCGTTTCGAGAGACTTCAATTCAACTTATTTCTAAGAGTTTTAGTTCTAAAATCTTGGATTGAATGGATATTACATATCATAAAAAACAAATGTGTGTACTTCAAATGGTATATTAAACACCTTTCGAAGCATATCATTATGCAAAACGTGCACTTTGATTATTACAAACTCGTATGTCTTTGTATCTTAAACTTATTTTGGTAATATCTTTATTTAATAAAATACATAAAATCACAATCGTTTTAATTAAGATAAAAAAAAAAAAAAACAGATCTTATACTTATATATACTTAACCCATCAAATTTATATACATACTATGCTTTAATTTAATTTCATCAATAAAATTGTATCCACAAGTTAGAATTTCAACCAATACAGTCTAAGTATTAATATGACAAAACTACATATTATAATTTAAAATTCTATAATGTAAATAATAATATCAAGTAAATTAACTATGGGCTTTCCTTGCCGGTCCAACACAATTCTATCAGGCCCAAAATCAAAGGGCAAATTCGTAAATAAAAAATCCAACTAGGGTTTTAGCCCGTCTTTATAAAATCGCCTCTCTTCGTCTCCGCTTCTAATTTGCTCGCAGTCACAGGCCTCTTTGCTCTCTCGCCTACAAGGTCTCTATATCTCTTTCTCGCTTACTTTGAATCTACTTTCATGGGTTTGCTTCACTTTTTTTAATAAAATTTTCTGTACTTGAAATTACGATCTGGGTTTTTGTGTTCTTCAGGAAGGAGATTTATTAAGCATCCGAAGCTCAACAACAAAAAATGTCAGGGTAAGTACACTTTACTTAATTTCTTTTGTTTATCTATGTGGGTTTATATATATATTCATTAAATGCAGTTACTTTTGTGTTATGAAGTTGTAAAGATTTGAGTTGTAGTGTTTGAATTTGTCAAATAATGGTTTAGTGTTTTGTGTTTTCTATGTTGTATTAATTGAAATTAATTTTTAAGTATTGCCTATTGCGACTATGAATCTTTTGTTTCGAATTATTGTTCAGACTTTATGGGAAATGGATAATTTGCTATTGTTTAAGTTGGTTTACTCTTTGAATGTTGTAGTAGATGAATATTTTTTTATTTTTTATTTTTTTAATTGTAGGATATAGCTTATGACTTGATAGGAAATAGATTGTTTGATGGTGGATTAATTGATTAAACTTGAGTAAAACTTGTTTAGGATGCGAGGTGAAAGTCAAAGCCTGAGGTTTAGTAAGGAACTTGAGTTTTTGGTGTAGAAGTGGTTTGCTGTACGTATGTGTGTTAGTACTTTACTGTCAGTGTTTTGTTGATATCGGAGAATTATTTTGCAGTGAAGAGGTTGTTGCTCCTGTTGCTGAGACCACCCCGGCCCCCGCTCTTGGTGAGGCCATGGATCTCATGACAGCATTGCAGATTGTGCTCAGAAAGTCACTTGCTCATGGGGGTCTTGCTCGAGGCCTTCATGAAGGTGCAAAAGTGATTGAAAAGCATGCTGCCCAGCTGTGTGTACTGGCAGAGGACTGCAACCAACCTGACTATGTCAAGTTGGTCAAGGCACTATGTGCTGACCACAATGTGAGCTTGCTGACAGTTCCAAGTGCAAAGACCCTTGGAGAGTGGGCTGGTGTAAGTATTATGTATTCTTGATTTTTCCGTCTATGATATTACACTCCTTTACAGTTTCAAAAAAAGTTTTATTTGCTTTGTGTAATAATTGTCATTTTGGTCATAATGTGGCATATGTGTATCATACCCCTGCGATGTTCCCTTGCCATTTGTTCTCTGTTGACTCATGCGAGTTCAATGACAAAGAATTGTAACTCCAAGCTTCTTGATGGTGTAATGCGTGAAGAATATTCTTGTTTGTTTCTTTAGACATTGCGTAGGTTTTGTGACAAAGGGATAATGCAATGATTAAAAGGAAAACCTTCTAGCTCTCTGCTGTGTGGTTATGGAGTAACATTATTTTCGCAGCTGTCTCAATACATGTAGGATATTCTTTATGATGTCTAATCTAACTCTTATCAAGTTGTTTTTCAGAGTTGCAGTTTACAATTTCTTTCTTTTCTGAAATTAGTTTCCTCCAAGATTTTTGGAGTTTGTGGGAAAAGCATAATCTTGCCTCAAATAAGTACTTGATTCTGATACCTTTTCTGTTGGCAAAATTGGTTTTATGTCTTTATTTTGGTTTTGGTCCATATTGACGCTGGTAGTTTACCATTGATACTCAAATTTACTCTCATTGATATTTGAAATGCTTTTTTTGGTTAAGTGCTGTTAAATTTGGTTTACTTAATGGTCGACAATATGTATTACTATTGATATTAAATATTGTTTTTGATTGCAGTTATGTAAAATTGACTCTGAGGGAAAGGCCAGGAAGGTTGTTGGCTGTTCTTGTGTTGTTGTGAAGGTATGAATTGATCTCATAGTACAATTGTATATTAAAGTATTTCAATGATTTATATTGTGGATGGTGTATTCATTTTCTCATTCCTGGTTTTCAGGACTTCGGTGAGGAGAGTGACGGTCTTAATGTTGTCCAACAGCACGTTAAGTCTCACTGAGTAGCTGCAAACGGTCCTAAAACTCATTTGATGGGTGATCTTAATGAGACGATATTTATAGAGACCTGTGTTTTTTGTTCAATTTGTTGGTTGTCTCACTCCAAGGAGTTTTTTGAGTGTTTAGTTGCTATTAACTTAGTATTTTCTTTACCTTAATTGCAGTTGAACATCTATTTTTCATATATTTTAGCTGGATCAAACAATCATGGTTTGAGCGAAAATTGACACTTAGCACATCCCAATTTATCATTTTTTTTTTTACCTCGAATTTGAATATACTTTTGACTTGTACCAGTTGGGTAAACATGAATCCAAGGATCCAGTTACAAATGATAGTTTCCATCCTTTTGCCATATTTGATATAGTTTTTTTATAGAACCCATTTGAATGATCATATTCAGACTTCTGCTTAATTTACCACAAATAATCGAATTATAAGAAATCCGAAGTACTAAATTCTAGGTTTAAATTCATGGTTCAGGCCCTAAGACCTAAGCCCCATTTGAGTTTACCAGATAGGTTTCAAACAGAAGTAAAAAAGAAAAGACTAACTGAAATTGTTGGATTCTTTGTTGGATTCTTTGCCATCAATATTATTGGCTTTCAATTCGTAAATCCATGATGCAAATAACTGAGATTGATCAAGGCCTTTATGTAAACTAGTTTGGTTATGAGTACAAATTGGTTTAATACAGTGTCTATAAAATCTTAAAAAGACAATGGTATTATGAATACGGGTAATATTATATGTATAAATAACTCTTACAAAGATTTATGTACAAACTGATGTGACAGAAAATAAATGGAATAGTGAGTACAAAAAGTCAAACTCATCATATTCATTCTTTCATTCATTTTCTGTCACATCGGTTTGTACACAAATCTTTGTAAGAGTTGTTTGTACATTTAACATTATTGTTATGAATACTTGGAGAGATTTTGATTGATTCAAAGCACATAAATGTACAATAATTTCAACAAAGTAATACTCCCGTTTGAGTTGGGTCAAGAATTAACAAATATGAATATGGATTTTTTTTTTTTTTTTTGGATTGATCGAGGTGTTTGGTCAGTTTCTGCGCATATCAATTAATCTTTCGGAACCCTAAAGTGAATAACTAAGTAAATCTCCTCAGTGATCATTCCTATTAGTGCTTAAGGGGACTCGAACTCAGAGACCCATGTTGGATCTCTTTGCTCTTTTTCCATCAGTGGTGGTTAATATGGGGTTTCTTGATCCCTCTTTCTTGGTACTAGTTTCAATTAGGAACTTATGATTGAAAATTGCATTGACATATGGATTATTAATGAAAAAAAGGAATTGGACCAAATAGGGATGGGCATTTGCCCCGGCCCCGCGGGGATCCGTCCCCTCCCAACCCGGCCCGAATGGGCTGAGGAATCCCCCAAAAAAAGGGGGATAGGGTCGCGGATGGTCCTTAGTAAAATCCCCGCATCCGGGGACGGGCTAGGGAAGGGGATAATGCAATCCCCGGCCCGAATTGCATGGAGCCCCACCTGCCCCGCTTTTTTGAGAATTTTATGTTTTTTTTTTTTTTTGTTCCCTTTATGAGATTGTATATAAAGTTAGAGTTTAAATCATGATTTTAAGTAATATATCTAAATTTATGATATTTACTTTTATAATATTTTCTAATGTTTGTATTAAATTTATAGAAAAATAATTTAAAAGAGGGAGTCTAATAATTAAATATATGTATTATTACTTTGTGAATTTCACAAAATAATAATACATGGGACATAGCCCAAAAACAAATTTAATTAAATTATTACAATTTACAAACCAATATAAGAATATATACAATTGCTTAACGACTTACAAATTATACAAATTCAATTATCCTTGTAATTAATTAATTGATCAATTAAATATGATGTAAACTTAATCAAATATTGGGATTTGTCACTTTCACAAATGGACTAATTTTATTAGTTGTTGTGGAGATAGTGTTTTATGAATTAATTCATCAATTTACCTAGTAAATTATGTTAAGATTGAATTTAATTATGTTAATTTTATGAAAAATTAATTAATTAGCATGGCTAACTAAACCTAAGCCTTCATACAATTGAATAATTTAACAATTTACGTAATAAATTATGTTAAGATTGAATATAATTAATCAACGTGCTAGTTTTTCACAATTAAAATAATTAAATATTATTGTTACGAAAAATTTTGATTTACACAGGGCAAAAATCCCCGTTTGGGGGATAAACCCCCGTGGGGAGAAATTCCCCACGAAGCCCCGTTCATCGAGCCGGGCCAAGACGGGGATGGGAGGGATTTTGTCCACACGGGCCAGGGATGGTCATGAGAAAAATCCCAGCCCGCGGGGACGGGTCGAGGACGATCATGGGAGGGGGTAACGGGGACGAGGCATGGGGTCCCCGGCCACTACCCGGCCCGCGCCCATCCCTAGGACCAAATAATAAGGTGGTTGTGTTTTTGTTTCTAGAAAGGACAATAAAAGAAATGATTTTATATTTTAAAATTTGTTGATTACCATTTTCTAAAAATAATATTTGAAAATGCAAACAGTGAAAGCATGATATTGTTTTCTTAGTATAAATATAAAATATTATATTAAGAGATAATGAAAAAAGATATAAAACAACTTTTTTATATTTGACATGTTATTAATTTTGTTATCCACGAGTTCTTCTGGTTTCATATTTTCTCTTTCAGAAAATGGAAATAATAAATAAACAAGTATTCCATATTTTACAAAATAAAATAGAGAATAAAAACAGAAAAAAAATCCTAGACTCCACAATAGTTTTAATTGTATTTCATTTTTTAACCATAATTGAAGAGAATAAAATGTTGGATTTCTTTGAANAAGGACAATAAAAGAAATGATTTTATATTTTAAAATTTGTTGATTACCATTTTCTAAAAATAATATTTGAAAATGCAAACAGTGAAAGCATGATATTGTTTTCTTAGTATAAATATAAAATATTATATTAAGAGATAATGAAAAAAGATATAAAACAACTTTTTTATATTTGATATGTTATTAATTTTGTTATCCACGAGTTCTTCTGGTTTCATATTTTCTCTTTCAGAAAATGGAAATAATAAATAAACAAGTATTACATATTTTACAAAATAAAATAGAGAATAAAAACAGAAAAAAAAAATCCTAGACTCCACAATAGTTTTAATTGTATTTCATTTTTTAACCATAATTGAAGAGAATAAAATGTTGGATTTCTTTAAAATTTCAAAGTATATTTTGAATTCAGGAAGGTTTGCTCATTTCATTGACTTTCTGGATTTAAACCATCTTAGGGTCACTAATTACCAGGGGCGGATCCAGCCCACTTTGGCCCACCCTCAATTTTTTTTTTTAAATATTAATATATATAATTTTTGGATTTTGGCCCACCCTAACAAACCCTAACAAAAATATTAATATGTAATAAGTTTTTATTTTAGCCCACCCTAAAATTTTTTTTTGGATCCGCCACTGCTAATTACGTTTGTGGTTTATCTTGAACATTGGACTTGTAGAATTGGTTCTGAAGATTAGTTGAGGTGCACGTAAGCGAGTTCGGACAACCCGATCAAAAAAAAAAAGTAAGTTGACAATCAAAATTTGTATTGTAATCCTAGACTGGACATTTTTTGTTTCACTATAAATAGAGAAATATCGAATTACGAGGATAAAAAAATGCAAAGTTTTACGTGTTGTTTTTGGGGTGTAGCAACTAAAGTTACAAAAGTAAATAAGTAAAGTGAGAACCTAAAATGTTGCATTCAAAGAAAGGGGAAGTTTTCAATCTACCCCTGAGATTTTGCTAATACACATTTTGTGCTAATTATGCCAGAAATCATGACAAAATACCCCTCCTCACTCCTAGTTTCCATTGCCTTGAATTTAAATTATTTTGCGAAAGCACCATTTTGCCCTCACTTTTATTGAAGATGTAAATGTTTTTATATTGAACAAGTGAATTTTAGTTTAATTTAAATATTTTAAAGTTTAGTTAACAAAAATAGGGTTTAGACTAATCAGTGTTTGGTTAATTTTAATTAGGGTGGGTTAAGTTTACTTGTGTTTGGTTAAATTGAAAAAAAAAATATCCTTGATGAAATGACTACAATGCCCTCAAACTATTAAAATAATTCAACATTATTAGCATGATGAGTATTTTATGGTGATTTTTAACATAGTTTCCGTTAAATAACAAAACCTCAGGGGTAGATTTGAAAATTTCCCTCAAAGAAAGCTTTACAAAATACTTTGATTCTTTTGTTTTAAACACAATAGAAATTCACATTACTAAAAATAAAATATTTACATAAAAATAGAATAATCATATAATTAATGAATTATAAACATCTAATAGGTCATGCTATTATAACTTAATTTTTTGATTTAAATACTAAACGACAAATCTGAAACCTTTATCCAAAATGATTCAGTTCGTTACAATTCAGTTTAATTCTTAACTGTCAAAAACTGAAAATCGTACTGTACCGTTAAGTTATAAAATCTAAACTATACTATATTGAACTTTTAAATTTAAACTGTAAAAGACAAATCTAAATCCTTTATCCAAAATGATTAAAACAAGTTCGTTACAATTCAATTCAATTCTTAACGGTCAATAACTAGAAACCGTATCGTATCGTACCGTATCGTACCATACCTTTTAAGTTATAAAATTTGAACTATACTATATTAAACTATCCGGTTTTTCTTTGGTATCTTTTACACCCTTTATTTAAGATGATGTCCAATCTAATGAGTTTGGGAAAGAAATTAAATAAAATTAAAAGGATAAATAATAATAAAAATATTAATTAGCTAATCTTCATCACCAAGAAATGGATATATTAAATTTTGCCACACATTGTCAAAATGGGCATAGCCATTAGCCAAACACTCTTTTGTGAAGCAAGAAAATAGAGCGCCAAAGGAAGTGACTAAAGTTTCACCTAGTAGCGGATGTGAAAGCAACTTATAACAAGCCAAAGTGAATGAATAAAGTTGTCAGAATCCGAAACTGGGCTCTGTGCTTCCTGCATGCTCAACACTTAGCCTGCCTTTTGCTTGTTTGTTTTTGTTTTTGTTTTTTTGTGTAGTGAGTGAGAAAATTTTAGGCAAGTGATTTTGTTTAACAGTTGAAAATGTGTTATTTCCCTTGTGGGGTTTCACTCAATAATCAAAATTTTCAATTTGGGAAGTGTTAAGTGTGTGTCAGCGTTTTGAAGCTTGTGCTTTTAGGGTTTCTTTTGTGGGTGTGAAAATGGGTTCTCCAAGGAGAGATGTTGACCTTGAGGAACAGCTTAGGAGGTTGGGAATGCGCTTTTGTCCACCATCTGCCATTGATGAACTTACCGCTCTTCTTGATGTAATGACTTAAATATTATTTGTTTGTTTTTATATTTTGTGAAATGAGTTGATTGTGTTTTGTTTATTAATGTTGGTATGATGTGCAATTTTTGGTTGTTTGATTTTTTTTTTTTTTTTTTTTTTGTTTCGATGGAATGTTAGATTATGAAATGGGTGTTATTTGGGTTTTCAGTCGCTTGCAAATACACCATGCTTAGCAAATATGTTTATATATATATTCTTGTTACATTTGTTCATTTAAAAAATATTCAGGTGCATGTTATAGTACAGACTTAGTATTGTGAGTGTCAAACGGTGATGATTTTTAGTGATATGTGGGCTTCCTTTTTGCATTTCTTGCTGTAATGTTTGGTATTATGAATATGTTTGTATGGCCTGTATGTTTTGTTCTTACGGCTTGATACTTTTTTTAAATGCTTCTTCATTCTTCAATTTCTATTTCTTAATGATTTTAGATTTTTGTTTGTTGAGTCACTGATAAGAAGTTAACAGGGTCAATATTTTTGAAGTATTCTATGGCACTATCTTTAAATTGTTGTATATTATCAATTTTGGCGAATTTTGTAAACTAAGATAATTTTTTGAATCAGTTTTAAAGTTTCTTTAAGCTAATAACTCTTATTGTGATAGGGGCTTCTTTTATATGGTACTTGGTTGAATGGTTACTGATATTTAAAGTTTAATTTTATATTTTTTGTTCTGGAAAGTTCTTATTTAAAACATTCTTGAGGCTATTTGTAGTTTGAGCTTCATATCTGACAATGTGTGTTTATTTGCTCTATCTTGGCTACTTGCTAAGTTTCACCAGTGTCATGGCTTCTGTATGATTTTTCTCACTTCTCGTTTACTGCTTCATTTTTAACATAACTCCATGGATTAATTCTTCTAGTTTGATTTGTTTGCTAGAAAGCTGAGCACTTGCTTGCAAATGTGGAACAAGCGCCTCCAGGATCAATGCAAGATGCACTTCTACCATCAATGAAGGCATTAATTGCTGATGAGCTATTGAGGCACTCAGACACGGATGTGAGGCTGTCAGTTGCATCTTGCATTAGTGAAATCACCCGAATAACAGCACCAGAGGCTCCCTATGATGACGACATTATGAAGGTGCTATTCTGATCAATTCTTGAATCTAAACAGAAATTCCAAACTATAGTAATTTGTATTTCGATTAACTTTCTTCCATGTCTGCGGTTAGAGGATGTTTTCGTTGACTCTTATGCTTTCTGTTTCTGAAATTATTGGTGCACAGGAAGTTTTTCATCTGTCTGTTGCAGCTTTCGAGAAATTGTCCCATGTCTCTGGTCGTTGTTATACAAAGGCAGTTTCCGTTCTTGACACTGTTGCAAAGGTCAGGTCATGCTTGGTGATGTTGGACCTTGAGTGTGATACATTGATTATTGAGATGTTTCAACATTTCCTAAAATTCATAAGGTAAGTCCATTGTCAGTATTGTCTACTGTTTTTCTCTGTCTTTTCGTATCGATTTATATAAACTCCTCAAGGATTATTCCCTGTTCCATGTAAAGGTCAAAAGTTACAGTAAATGTTATATCTCATGGCTTTAATGTGAATGTTACATACAGCTATACAAAGTTGTTCAACTTATGGGACCATAATGTTCAGTTTCAAATGTTGAACTTATGGAACTATAATAGTTGTAACAAAATCCATGTTTAAAACCTATCTAGTCAATTTGTGCACATGAAGTTATAATTATATACACACCATATTGACATAGTATGCCCAAAAGTCAACTAAGCTTTTGTATGTATGGAGGATTGGGTTTGAGGAGGCAAGACCAGAGTGGATGACTTATGTCCCCTAGACTTTTGGACTATGATTTAGTTATACAATTGTACTCCTTAGGTGAACTAAATTCATGCTCATGTAGATGCTTTTGTTTTTTGGTAGGTCTAGCTGGCATTCTGAGATATAAAATGTTACACGTCTAAGCTGCTAACAGAGATTGTTTTTCCTCTTGGGATTTCCTATGAATTATTGTCTTGGTTGTGTTAGGTGAAGGGAAAAGAAGATCATTTTTGTTTAATTGTTACAACAAAGTCATCCAAACTATCTGTGAACTCTTGGCATCAGTGTTAGTAATAGAGAGCAAGCCGCTTAAGTTTTGAGATGATCAGAGGAACCTTGTGCTTTTATCCAAAGATTAGAAATTTGTTCTTTTCTTTTGGCGGTTGATGCCTTGGCATCTCATATAGCTGACTTTCACATTTGTTTTCTACTTTCTGATTTCATCTCTTCTGCTTCCCTTCTCTTTAAGTTTAAGCTATGAATCATGGAAAGGAAGTAATAATCAGATACATATTGGTTGTTGAAATGTGAAGCTGGGATTTTAGGCTGTCAACATGTCAAGGAAAATCAACAAGTGGATACGATCTATGAAAGATTAATGTGGTAGAGAGATCAGTTGAGAAACAAGAATATTTAAGTTTTAAGATGTCCATTGAAACGTTCAAGGCCAGAGTTAATCAGTAGGCTTGTCATGTGGTTCAAATAAAAACACAAATGCAAATACAAATACGACATGCTATAAACTTCAAAGGATTTCAATGTAAGGCCTTGTGGCTGAACTAGTTTTGATACCATGTTGAGAAGCCATTAATGCCAAAAGATTTTTGGTTACCACCAAATGCAACATTGGCTGTACATTATTGTATATTGGTGGATAGGGTGTTAGTTGTCAGCTCTTGGACTTTTATAGTATAGAGATATTTTGACACCATTTAATTTATTTTTTGTAATTCTCTCTAAATATTTGATTCTTGCAGTAAGCTGAGTTAGTCTTTGCTTCTCATTTTACTCCCATAATAGTTGAGAACTTGATGTCCTACTTCATTTCTTAGTACCCACAACTATCTTCTGTATGTGATTTATTATTAATGGTGTTTTCTTGCTAATTCTAAGGTCCAACCATCCACATGCTGTATTTTCGTCCATGGAAACAATTATGACCCTGGTCATAGATGAAAGTGAAGATATTTCCTGGGATCTTCTCAGTGTTCTTTTATCTAGTGTCCGAAAGGAGAATCAAGTAATTGCTTCTTGTGCATCATTTTCTGGTCATCATAGTTTTAATTGTTTATTTTTATTTTTATTTAATCCTTTCTATTTTCTGAAATTTCAGGATGTTTCTCCTATTTCTTGGAAGCTAGGAGAGAAGGTTATTACTAACTGTGCTGCTAAGCTTAAATCAAGTTTTATGGATGCACTGCAGTCTAGAGGCATTGCTTTGGATCAGTATGCTGAGATAGTTTCCTATATATGCAAAAATGAATATGAAACCCTCCAGGGTCTTGATTGTTCTGGGAAATATTTGGTATGTTTCTCCTCATATTACTATTACATGGATTGGTATTCTAATTTTGGAGATATTATCTTACACTCATGCAATTTTATGCTTTGATTTTGTTTGCTGAATTTAAATCTTTGAAGTTTGTTTCTTTAATAAGTTCCTAAAGTTATTTTAGATTCTTAGCTGCTGTTGTTTGGATTTTTTCCTCTTTCCTTTGGTTTTTGGAAAGAAAAAGTGAATAGATTTTATAATTTAATAAACACAAAAAAAGTTTTTAGCTAGAGACAATTCCATCATAAAATGACCATCAGAAAATGAAAGCAAAGGACAGCACTATGTGTCTACTATGTTCATAATTAGTAAGGGATATATATAAACTGGTCAACTAATCTGTATGAGATGTGTATAAGGGATTTTATGATACAAGATCTTCAGCAGCATAGCGGTGATAATATAATTGTAATGAAAATGTTAGAAGAGTCTATGGATGCTATTTTGGTGCATTGATATTTTTAACACACATGGAGTGGGGTATTACCTCTTTTGTACATGTTCTTTCCATGTGATACATGTATCCTGCTGCCTTAAACCATCCCTGGTCTTATTACCCGAAGAATATTATCCTCAAAAGGTCAAAACAGAATTAGATGTTGGATCTTAAACACTCTTATACCTCTCTCTAACCATGGAACAAGCTTTAAGTGTCATGTAAATTAGCCTTAAAAACTCCAGATGGAACCAGTGGCTGTTATGATCCAACTTGACCTTGTTGGTGCTGACACCGGCTGTATTGCATCACTATGTTTTTAGATGCCTGATAAAGTTCTTGGACAAATCTGGTTTCTTCTGAATCATGTAACTGTTACACCTGGTCAATTCTCTTGAAAATCTGGCAGATGCATTAAGTGGCCATTGAAATTAATCATGGAGGTCTCTATGCCAGTTGTAAATCCTTGTGTCTGATCCATATCTTACTCTCGTTCTGGTGTTCTACTTACCAAAATGTGAAACACTTTTGCATTCTTAGCCATCAAATTTCCTTGAAAGGCTAAACCATCTGGCATATGATGTACCACTTATACAGTAACACTGAAATAAGAGCAGTTCCTGTGAATGTAATCATGATGCTGAACAGAAGTTTTGGTAAATTGCATTAGCATGCCTCTGGCAGTTGAACAAATATTCTACAGGGTACAGTAAATTGAGCTTGTAATATGATTTGATGTTGATGACATTAAGTCTGAGCTATTACTATTTATTTTATTTTTTTTCATCAGGTTTTCCTTTTCCAATAGTTGTAACTTACATTCAATTTTCTATTGATCAGGCGACTAACAAATTAGATCCTGTTTCTCCTGGAGAAGTTTGCCATGATGTGGATGATATTTCCAAGTCGATGAAGTGTAATGGAACTTCCCCAACTAGGGATGATAAATACATAGATAATAGGTCCTCAAAGGTATTTGAGCAGTGTACTCATGCTGACCATTCCAGAAACATTGATGTGAGAGGCAGTGCCAAACCCGATAATGTAGTCTCTGTGAGGAATGTCAAGTCAGATACTGAGCCAGCGAGTGCTCCGAAGAAAAGGGGTAGAAAACCTAATTCCTTAATGAATCCGGAGGAAGGCTATGACCACTCTTGGATTTGTACTGGAAGAAAAAATTCCAAAGTACCTGGTCGCGAAAAGTCTCATGATAAGGAATTTGATTGTTCACCCTCTGTAGATCCTGATTTCAAGAAGAGAGCTTTACTGTCAACAGAAAAGAATGTGGGTGAACCTGCTTCTTCCCCAACCCCAAAAAGCCACCTTAATGAGGAAAGTCATCCTAGAAGGGGTCGGCCAAAGAAAAAACAGAGCATGAAGGATCAAGATGGTGATCTCAATTCCCTGTCAGTGAGATTGACCAAATCTACAAATTCCATTTTGAAAAAGGAGCCTGAAAACAGACATGAGAAAGAAGTAAAACGACATAAGCGCTCATTAGAAGGTGAACTTGCTGCAAAGGCTAGTGAAGAGACTGCTGCAGCTTCTGGATGTGGAGTTTTGGAGAAGGAAGCTGATATCCCAAATGATCTTGAGGAAAAACCACAAAAGCTGTCAGCTACAAAGGCAAGGGGAGAGGGTGTCAATGAGGACAAACCATCAGTCAAGACAGATGTCAAGAAAGGGAGTTTGGTTGCCGCTACTTCAGCTAAAGGTATTACTGATGCATCTGGTACTAAGGTATGGAACAAAAAGAGTTTTATTCTCTTAAAATCTTTGTTAATGGTAAAACCTTTGTTTTGGTATAAACTCTCACATTATCTTCCTTCCTTGTCAACTATGAAGAAGGGGAAGATTTCTAAGGCTGCACGTAAATCATCAAATAGAAATGGAAATAACTCAGTGGAAACTCCTAACACAGAAGTCAAGAGGAAACATACTGCCGGGAAGGAAGTGGTATGAATTTATTATTGCTCTTCTGCCATAACTTATTAACTTATTTGTGGGTCTGTGACTTGTTTCTATCTTATTTCTGTTTCTTTATAAATGTCTGCCATGGTACAAGCTCTAATGTTATTACCCCTCTTGTCAACTGTATAGAAGAAGAATACTGCATCTAAATCGTCAAATAGAGATAGAAATTACTCAGAGGAAACCCCTAAAACCAAAATCAAGAGGAAGCATACTGCTGGGGAGGAAGTGGTATGTTCATTTTGTTTGTCTGCCAACCTTTGCTATTATTCACAAACTGCAGAAAATTAGCATTCATATCTCCATCACTTGGAAATCACTTTAAAATTTAAAAAAAAAAAAAAAAAAGAAAATTAGCATTCATATCTCCATCACTTGGAAATCACTTTAAAATTTAAAAAAAAAAAAACAAAAAAAAAAAAAAAAACTCAAGAGTTAGTTAATAAAATATTAAATATAGCAAATAAGTACTGTCTACATTCATCTAGGAAGGCTTTCCTTTTTTTTTTTTATTTCCCTTTGTTTCTTTGATCACAGTGGAACAACATTTTGCCTGCTTTACCCTTCTGCATCTCTTCTTAATCTTATCGTCATGTTCTACATCTTTATGTTTGTTTATCTAGTTTATCATTCCAATTCAGGCTTTTGAAACGCATGAGCTCGGTGAGCAATTGGTTGGTAAGAGAATAAAAGTTTGGTGGCCGATGGACAAGACGTGAGTACTTCAGTGCACCTAGTTTCATAACTTGCCGTGTAATATTCTTGTTATGGTTGCTATCACCGGCTTCTGTAATTCCAAGTCTTATTCTCTAAATCTTTAGAATTACCCTTCACCTTTTAATGGTCAATTTGGACATTGAGATTGATTAAGTAAGCCTGCCTATATCCTTCTTTAGTTGTGTTAAGATCCAGGGCAATCATTCCTCCATTTCAATACATGACTAAGCATTGACTAGATCTCTTTACAAAATCATTTAGGTTCTAACACATAATTCTTGTCTAAGAAGGAACTAGTAGCTGGAGATGGTTAGACTGAAACTTTAGGCTTGGTAACTGCCTAGAGATAGTTTTGCATGTAATGTAGCCACACCAACTTGCTGGATGAATGGGCTAAGTCTTGCATACTGTAGGCAAGGTTTTTGGCATGGAGGAAAACTGGCTCAAAAATGCAGTGTCTACATCTGGTGATGGATTGGGGCAAGGATTTTGTAATGTAACTTATTGTTTCCAGGTGCTTTGTATGTTTGGTAAACTTTTTGCGTTCCCAAGGTTTCCAGCACTACCCGAAGTACACAAATATTCATTTGTTATGGATGTGATGATATTGTATATTTGTTACTATGCAATTTTGAGTCCTTTGCCAGTAGCTGTTTTTATATTTTCCCTGTGGATATATGTAAGACAGGAGCTGAAACTTCCATTTATGTTTCTCATATGCATTTTTGTTTGTTCTACAGGTTTTATGAAGGCGTTATTGACTCTTACGACCGCATCAAAAAGAAGCACAGGGTAAAATGAATTTGAATGCCACATGGATAATCTATATTGTACCAAAGCACTTGTTAATTTACAAATCATCATGCTATTTCTTACTGTCTTGCGCCTATAATCCATGGTCTTTCATGTAACCCCCTCCGTATATTGTTAAAAATTCTTTCTCTTTGTGGCTTTTTGCGTAGATATTGTATGTTGATGGGGATGTAGAGAGATTGAATCTCGAAAAACAACGTTTTAAACTGATTGAAGATGTCGATTTGTCAAAAGGGGTGAGTGTATTGCTTTTATTTGCAAATTTAATTTTCTTTCTTTGTTCAATATTGTGTTAGCAATTCCCATGTAACATACTGATACTATAAACAGGGACAAGAGACTGATGTGCTAAAACCTGATGCTTCATCCGCTATGTAAGTATTGCTCTCTAGTTACACTTTTGCCTTCTCACAGAAGCATTCTATTTTTTAGGTTTTAAACATCCAACAAGGGAGTATACTTTGTACCTTTTGTTCTTTTGCACTAGATTAGTCAACAATTTTATGTTTTGATGCAACAAGATGTATTATAACCGGTAGTTTTTGTGGTTTGTTAATTGGTCACATTCTGTTCTTAAAATGCTTGTGATTTATCATTCAAAGAATGACTGGAAAACTATTCAGACCATCCAGTTAGAGTAACCTCAATTGACTCCAATTCTTTTAACCATTAACATTGTGGAAGATATCTCAAAATCTCTTTCAAAAAAGTTTTCAACTTCCGAGGAATATATTGGCCAATGTAGTAGTACTTGTTTCTTCTTTGCCTCTAAATGATGTCTTGAACATGTTTTTTCGCTAAATTCCCAATTTAGTCATTCTCTGTTATCGTAGTTGGTGATTACCTTACAGTTTGCGGAGTGGTTTTCTCCTCGTGTTTCCTTTGGCTTATAAATCTTTGGTTTTTCTTTACGTAAGCAGATTGCAGAAGGAAAAGGACGAAACAAAGTTTCAGCTGGTCAAAGAAGTGAAGGCCTCATCCTTGAAAAGGTTGGTCTGTAATCTTTGAATGAATTATGAATCCCTTTTTGGTATTTTTGGCCCTTATCGGATTAGATGGTTTTCTATGAGTAGTGAACATGCCATTGCATCCAAAGCTAAGGCTAGAAAATCAGCTGGTGCTTCTGCCGGTGGTGCTAAACTTGACAAACCTATTATCGGTGATGAACCAATAATCGATGCATCTGAGAAAGATAGCAGTTCAAAAGGGGATGATCACAATTCCATTAACAAATTAATAGTAAGAGACAGGAAACTGATATTGACCGTAACCAGACGACAACAGACTTATACTAGCCCTTCCAAGGGCGGGGGGGAATCTCCTGGCATGTGCAGATCTGGAGATGACTTCAACAACAACAAAGAAGCAAAGAATGTAGAATTTTCAACCAATATGGAGGCAAATGAAATTGGAGATATAGACCAAGTGATAGAGGGAGGAGGGGCTTGAAAACTTACAGGTTTGGGGTCTGTATAGTGTGGGAAGTGTTAGTTTTATATATAGTGTCGTGTTTTTGAGGTGAATATCAGCTCTTTTTTGCCTTCTTATTTTGCCAGAGAGCTGTAAAGGCATCTTCTTCTAACTGTTGTGTAATAGGGGGTCAAAACTAAAGTTGCAGAGCTTTGAGACTGCAATGTAATTGGTTATCCTTATAATTATGTAAAGCGGTCTCTGCTATGTTAATGATACCGGAGGTTCCCCAATCAAACACTTACCTGTTATAAAAATTTGAGTTAATATTTTGACACCGTGTTACCATATTTTAGTAGTACATAATAATATGTAAAATATCGTGATTTAGATTTTTAATTTAATTTTTTTGACACTTCTTGTGGATAGATTATTTTTATTTTATCCGAAGATGTTGAGTTGATATTGAATATAACTTTATCACTGTTGGGTTGATAAAGATGAATGACTTACATGGAATCTGAAATTTAAGTTACAAATTTAAATCTCGGTGTCACAATCTAAACTTATAGCCTTAATTTCTGTTTTAAAATCCGGCCGGTTGGACCAGTTCGATTGGGACCCGATAGCCTTTCTGGTCTGGTTCAGGTTTTACTTTTAGGGATTTTTTTACTGAATTTCAAATTTATAGGGACTACGTGGAAATTTTAGGGTTTCTTTGCAATATTTCAAAACTTTAGGGGCTAATTGAAATTTTTTGGGATTAATATGCAATCTGAGGGGTATTTTAAAACATGCTAAAATTTAAAGGACTAATTAAATTTTTTTAAAATACTTTTGTTGCTGATGTCANGATAGATATGAGATCTTTACACGAGAAAAGATTTATCAAGCTGTGCCAATTACTTTAGAAAATATAAGAAAGTGGTCACAGTTAAACAAATTTTCCCACAACGTGGGACAGTGGGGCTACAAACAAGTTGAGTCTAAACTAATCAACACATAAATCAATCCAACACAAACAAGATTCAAAGAAATCACACACCAAGAATTACACACTCAATCTGCCGAATCAGAGCAATGCTTTAACCCAAGCCTAATCACTCAATAACTCTCTATAACCTGCAAGAAATCAGAGACCTATCCTAGCCTTAAGAAGGAAACGCAACCCTCTCACAAATCTGCCCAGATTACAACGAGAAAGACCTCAGCAAAAAGCCCCAAATCAATTGCTCATTCAACACACAAGAACCCTAACAATTTCAGACTAAAAAACCCAATAGCTGTACACCTTCTAGCTATGGTTTGCCTTTAGATTGAAAAATGTAAAAGGTGTTAACTTAAATGTAAAGGGAGTGAGGAATGGTGTACTTGGATTGAGGAATGGAGCTATCGTCAACAAATGAAGCTGTCGCCGTCGATTTCCAGCGAGGAACGGAGCTATCGTCGTCAATTTCTGGAGAGGAAGGAAGACGTCGTCGATTTCAGAGAGTTCAAATGCGATTTGGGTGGGATTTCAGAGAGAATAGAAGACAGAGCCGAAACCGTGACAATTTTCGCAAAGAACATAGTGTTTGCTTAGAAATTTTCGTGAGAAAAACAGAGAAAGATTGAAAGAGAAGAACTGAAGATTGAAGAAGACGAGAAAGGAGCGTGAGCGTGATTGCGTCGTGTTTAGGATTTAGGGATTGTTAATATGTGGACCAGTTTTAACCGGACCGACGGTTTACTGATATTATCCGGTTTTTAACCGGTTTAAAACGGCTCAATGCATAGTAATGGTTTTGAGAGTGAACCGAACCAGACGCGTGATCGGTTCACGGCCCAATTGGTTGGACGGGCCGGTCTGGTCCGGTTTTTAAAACAGTGATAATAATATGTAAAATACGGTGATTAAGATTTTTAATTTAATTTTTTTGACACTTCTTATGGATAGATTATTTTTATTTTATCCAAAGATGTTGAGTTGATATTGAATATAACTTTATCACTGTTCGGTTGATAAAGATGAATGACATACATGGAATATGAAATTTAGTTACAAATTTAAATATTGGTGTCACAATCTAAACTTATAGTCTTAATTTCTATTTTAAAAACTGGACCGGACTGGCCGGTTGACCGGTTCTATTGGGACCCGAAAGCCTTTCTGGTCTGGTTCAGGTTTTACTTTTAGGGGGTTTTTTAATGTATTTCAATTTTATAGGGACTACGTTAAAATTTTAGGGTTTCTTTACAATATTTCAAAAAATTAGGGGCTAATCATAGTTTTTTGGGATTAATATGCAATCTTAGGGGTATTTTAAAACATGCTAAAATTTAAAGGACTAATTACAATTTTTTTAAAATACTTTTGTTGCTGATGTCATCGATCCAACCGGTTGACCTGTGACCTGATCATCTTGGTAGGTCTCATAACGGATTGGGTTTTAAAACAATGGTCTTAATACAAAATATAGGGTTGAAATATGGCAACTTTGATAGATATATATATAAGTTGATGATGGAGATAACTTTGACAATTTTACATTGAATTCAATCAAGCTTGATTAATTTTGTGTTTAGATCCTTTTGTTGGTAAGATTAACTTACTAAACCGCTCATAGTTCAATTCTGTGGGTTAAGAAAATTAAAAAAGTAAACATTTGGTCTAAATAATATTAGATTTGTCAATCCTGTTTACAAATAGAAATAGAAAAGATACAAAATGAATATACAACTATGCAATCATATAGCTTACTGTAACGCCCCACTTGAGGTACGTACTTAAGATTTGCTGTTTTGCTTAAATGTTTATTGATTCAGCTTTAATTGAGTTTGTATATTGAGTTGGTTGAGTGTTTGCCTTGAAATTGGTTGAGAGTTGAGGAAATTTTTGTTTTGCAGTCTTCGCCGCGGCGACGTTGGCTTTGAGTAAGGCGGTGTCGACTCTGTATTTTTTCGTCGGGGTGTGATAAGAGCTTGAATGTTGATATTTTGTTAGTGATTTAATTGGTTTATTTATGGAAAAATGTGCTTAAAGTGTGGAATTTGGATTATTTCTTTCATAAATACCATTTATGGGATCACGGGTGCACTTTAAGTGTTTTCAGGCTCAAACAGGTTGTTGAAGGGAAAAGAAAGCTATCGATAGGATTCACGACACGCAGGAACAAACGGCACAAGAATCAGGGTCGAAATGAGGGAGTTGTGGTACGTCGAAGATGTTACGGAAAATCTGGAAATTCTTCATCATGAGTATGCCTCGATGTTTCTATCATAACTTGAGCTGTAGAAGTCGGAATTTGACGATTCTGGTGGCGTTGGAAAGCTTATTCAAAGAGCTACAATGTTCGTGTTGATTACTTCATCTAATTCTGAAGTTTACAGATTCTTTGGATAGAAGGAACGATCGCCGCGGCGATCATTCTTACCGCCGCGGCGATGGGTCGCGGGTTTGTGTTAATTTATTATCCTAATCCAAATCTGAATGGGCCAAGTTTTCTAATATTATTCCTAAGCACGACCAGAACCCAAGAGGATATAAAGGAGAGTCTTGAAGAAGTTAAGGGAGACTTGGAAGGGAGAAGAAGAGGACGGCTACCAATTGAGAGATCGGGATCCTGAAAGCTCTCGTTCACCGATTAGAGAAGTTTATCTTTTTCTTAGATTGATGTTATTAATCAGAATGATGGGTTTTGTTATTTTGATTATGAACTAACTTTCTTGTCTAGGGCTAAGATGTAGCCCGATTTATGAATATATGTTGACTTGAATGGTTGTTCATCCTTATTGAGTTTATGATTCTAAGTTTTATTACTATGCATAATGCTTTCAATTCTCAAGGGCCCGAGGGTTGAATGATTGTAAGGGTTAGGTTGAGATCGAGAGATGAAACCTGATTTGTCTTAGGTAATAAAACCATAGATTGAGCGAACGCTAGAGATAGGTTACCGCGATCTGTGAGGCTCCGGTAAATTCCATAGAGCTTAATGATCTCTTAGCTCCTAACTCCAATTTAGAGATATCTTGGGTTATTGTTTAAGGGTTAATTTGCTAATTGCTCGAGAGAGAGTTAGTGGAATAATAGGGGATTTGGCTTTTAGAATACACTCGATTAGGTTAACAACAAAAGTCAATGTATAGGATTAAATTGGTGTGAAATCTATGCCCTAGGTTTAGTCATATTGATTTTTACTTCAAAGTGTTTACAAGTTTTACTTTCATTTAGTACTTAATTTTTAGTGGTTAGTTTATTTACTTTTTCATTAAAATCATCCTTAAACTTCAGTTTAATCAAATAGTAATAGAATATAATAGTTTGGTACTTGGTAGGTAGTTCCCTTGGGATTCGACACTCGTTTACTCGAGTTTTACTACTTGCGCGATTTCGTACACTTGCGAATAGCCTGTCAGGCGACCAAAGTTTCTTCGCCGCGGCGAAGGGCCAGTTGACAAGTTTAATGAAGTTTCTAGATATTTCTCCATAAGGGTTAAATGACCATTCTACCCCTAATTAGCAAGAAAAGTGGGGAGTGAAATGTAAAAAAATTACATGGAGAATAGGTTAGTATGGGGGTGTGAGTGTAATAAATCAAAGGATATAGATGAAATTTTTAAGAAAGAGCAAGGGCAAAGTTGGGAAGTGATGATTTTCTCATGAGCTAAAAAGGGTTAAGTGTATTAAACCCTCATTTCATCCATTTCCACCGCCATTCTCCTTCTCTACTCTCTTTCAATTTTTGCTTTCAATGATTCCAAGTTTTCTAAGGGATTTAAGAGAGCTTTTGAGTAATTTTGAGTAGAGATTTCATCTAAAGCATCCTAAGGTAAGGATTCTTGCTTTAGATGTGAGTTTTGCTAAGGTTGTATTGAAGTCTTATTTGGTTATTGTTGTTGTTGTTGTTGTTTTGAGTTGTAGAGAGAAGACAAGACAACAAGGGAAAAGAAAAGTGCTAGAGAAGTCACTTTTGCACAAGGTAAGTAAATCCAATTTAAGTTGAGGTTTAGGAATTCATTTGAGCCCTAGGAATTCATTTGAGTAGAGATTGTGTATGTGTAATGTTGTTGAGATGAGATGAGATAAGATTAGTAATTATTTCTTATTGATTATGTTGAGTATGAGAAGTGTTGAACTTCTATGATGTTGAGTTGGGTTGATAGAAGAAGTTGGAGGGAGTTTGTTGTAAACCTATTTGGAAGTGTTTCTTTGTTAGGGTTTCTAGTTATTTGAGGGAGTTTTCTCCCAATTTGGATGGCTAGAGAATGTAGTAGAGTAGTAATTATAGTTGAGATTTTGCATGCACATGAATTGTTTGATGAAATGTATAAGAGAAGTATGAACATGAATTGTGAACCTTAATTCTTGCTACATTGCATATTGACATTTCTT